GTCTGTGGCTTTCCTTTTTACCCTGTTGAAGAAGTTTTTTTTAATGTGCATAGGGTTTTGATGTTTAAAAGGTCCCCTTCCTCTATTTTATTATCCCCTGGTTATAGGTTTTTCAGGATGCTTGAAATCTGTTCATATTGTGGATTAGGGCTTCTAGTGTTTCAAAATTTTCTCTGATGAACTACTACTCAGCAATGGAAAAATAAGAAACTTATAAAATATTATACAATATGAGTGACTTGGGAGGACATTATGCTGAGTGAAGTATCTCAGTCACAAAAGGATAAATACTGCATAATATCACTGTTATAAAATAGAACTGACATACGGGTTGAGGGGGAAATTAGAGGGGATAAATAATTAATATTGCATTGGAATATATGGAGAGAACTGTTTAGAAGGAATATATGGTTAGGCATTGTTTGCATGACTACAGTCCAGAATAAGAGATGCATAGCAAAGTGGACTGGGGTAGGGGAGGAACAATGAATGAATTTAAAAAAAAGAGAGAGAGAACTAGGGGTGAGGGGGGAGGAAAATGTGGAACAGTGAATGAATGGAAATCCAAGTTTTCTGTAAAATTTCACTGAAATCACAATGAAAATATTATTTTTAAAAAATATATTTATTTCCAGGGTTCTGAACTATATCTCACAGCAAATTAACATAAAGATAGATATTAGTATAGTATATTTTATTAATACATGTTATATTAGATAATTATAGTGATATACATTTCTATCATATACATTTATGTATATAGGGAAGTGTATGAATATGTGTTATCTAAACTATTCTTAATCTGTTAAGTATAGTTGTTTGTTGTTATGTGCCATTGAGTTGGAAATGACCCATAACTGACCTCCAGTGGATTTTCAGAGGCAGTAAAACAGAAGGAAAGAGATTGTCCATCCTTCTACAGAGCAGCTGGTGGATGTCAATCATGTGCCCTTGGGGCAAGAACTCCTTGGTGTATAGTGCCTAATTTGATTCAACTGTTAAGAAGGGTAGTGGTATAGTCATTCTTTCATTCATTCAGTGCTTATTAAATGTCAAGCAAATGTGTTTTGCCTAGAGATTACAAAAAGCAGAGACTTTATGAAAACTAAAAGTAATCACACAGTATTATTTTCTGCTAGAGCTTAGCTCTTGAAATGTAACATTTCATTTACCAGCCGCAAAGAATCACTCTTTCTAGGTCTTAGAATGGCTTGACATGAATGTTGAATTGTCTGGGGTAGGTATCTATAAATAGGTTATCACTAAAATTATATTTATACTTCTTTCACTCCCCTTACAATGCCAGTGCAGAGAAATTAGAAAAGTCAGTTTCTGTCTTTAAATATACCTCAAATGATATTCTCAATGGAAACAATAAAATATTCTTAAGAAACATATCACTAAGCAAGAATGATGAAAAAGTAGGAAGTCACAGAACTAAGTGAGCATCAAAATAATGTTGGGCTCTTTGGGTTGTCTTTTAACTTCTCCATTGGAGAGAGTTGAGGAAATAAAAATATAAAGGCTAAAACTTGAGGTGGGGGGGTGGGCGTTGTTAAAGGGAGTCGTTGTTATGTGCTGTCAAGTTGCTTGCAACTCATAGCAATCCTACGTACTATAACCCTGAAAGCTGCTCTATCCTTTGTCAACTTTACTATCTCGGACACATCTACCCTCATTACTTCAGTCACCGAGTCAATCCATCTCATCAAAGGTCTTCCTCTCTAGCACTGTTCCTCCACCCTCTCAAGCATGATGTCCCTCTACAAGGACTGGTCCCTCCTTGAAACCCTCCCAAAGAATGTCAGATGAAGCCTCAGAATCCTTGTCTCCAAGGAGCAGCCTGGTTTCACCCTCTCCAGGCTGAATCTGTTTGTTCTCCTGGCAGTTCATGGAGTATTCACCACTCTTCTCCAGTATCACAGCTCAAAGGAATCAATTCTCTTTCTATCATCCTTAGTCATGGTCCAGCTCTCTAAGGCAAACCAAGAATTACAAAGACTATGGCCTGAACCTGGTGCACCTTAGTCTCCAGACTGATATCGTTGCTATTCAGTACTCTGGAGAGGTCCCTGACAGACAACATTCCCAATGTAATTTGTCTCTTGATTTCCTGGCTGCTGGTACCAAGACTGTTGATTGTGGAGCGAAGCAAATGAAATCTATTAACAATCTCGATCTCTTCACCATCTATCATAATGCTGCCAATCAGCCCAGTGATGAGAATCTTTGTTTTCTTGATGTTGAGCTTCAATCCATATTGAAGGCTGCAGCCTTTTACCTTCTGCAGCAAGTGCTTCAGGTCCTCCTCAGTTAAAGCAAGCAAGGTTATGTCATCTGCATAATGTAGACTATTGATGAGTCTTCCTCCAATCCTGATGCCATACTCTTCCTCACAGAGCCCAGCCTTCCAGATGATCTGTTCTGCATATATATTGGAAAGGTATGGAGACGGGATACATCCCTGGCATACCCTCTACCTGATTTTGAACCATGCAGAGTTTCCTTGCTCTGTTCTATCAACAGCCTCCTAGTCCAAGTATAGGTTTTGTATATGCACAATCAAATATTTTGGGAATCTTATTCTTCTCAGAGTCAGCCAGAGTTTGTTGTGATCAACACAGTCAAACACCTTTGCATAGTCAATGAAACACAGACATTTCTCTACTAACTACTCTCTCCTTTCAGGTAAGATCCATCTGACTAACAGTAGCTACATTATCCCTAGTACCACAGTTTTTCTAAACCCACCTGCACATTGGGCCGTTCTCTAGTGATGTTTTTTAATAATTTTCAACAGAATCTTGCCTGCCTGTGATATCAATAATATTGTTCGATAATTGCCACACTCCATCGGTTCAGCCTTCTTTGGAATGGCAATAAATATTGATCTCTTCCAGTCAGTTGGCCAGCTGGTTGTCCTCCAGATTTCTTGACCCAACTTAGTGAGCACATCCAGGGCAGCGTCTGTTGAAATAATGACAACTGGTATGTCGTCAAAACCTGGGGCCCTGTTTTTTTGCCAATTTTTTCAGAACAGTTTGAATTTCCTTCATCACCACTATCAGACAAATATATGCATTGACAACTAGAGCCAAAGAGGAGGAAATAGAAGGTTAAAAGGGAGAGTACAGGAGGAAAAGGGAACAAAAAACTGTAAAGAGTTTTTCTCTGAGTATAATGTTAAATGAGCAATGAAATTATCATGTAAATAAGAACAGTAAGGAAACAAATTTGTCTTGAACCTAGCACAGATGTTGTTATAAAGTGCAAGAATCATTGTCAACTCTAAAAACAATAAATCTAAACTTTGTTTTATCCTCATGATTTCTTCCATGCTCGAGCCAATTGTTACAGTCACTGTGTCTTATTGAGGATCTTTTTCTCTTTCTCTGAATGTCATGGAAAAAGCATGATGTCTTTTTCCAAAGACTAGTGCTGCCTGACAGCATGCCCAAGGTTTGTGAGGCAAAGTTACACCATCCTTTCCTCTAAGGAGCATCCTGCTTGAGTTCTTCCAAGACAGATTTTTTTTTTTTTCACCCAGGGAATATTCAATACTCTGTCAACACCACAATTCAAAGGTATTGATTTTCCTCAGGTCTTTCTTTGTTTCAATCTCATACACATATAAATTAACCAAATGAAAATATCACAGCTTGATTCAAGTGCATCTTGGTCTTTAACTAATATCCTTGCTCTGTGGTATTTTGAAGAGGTCCTTGACAAAATATTTGCCCAATGCAAGGGGTGAGTGAAATCCTGCCAAAGAATTTGTAAACCAAATATCTTAATTCTGTCACAATCAAATTTATACCTTATATGTTATTTTTAAAAACTTCTAGTGGAAAATAATGTTTTACTGGGAGAACAGAGAGCTCAGGAGTACATCTAATGTAGATTTAATTTTTCTTCTAAGGACTAACCTTTAATCCAGGCCTCAAAACTACACATAGGTAAAATTCCAAGAAAAATATATTGTGAAACTAAACACACAGGAAATCAGACACAATATAAAGATTTGGGGGGGGGATGGGGGAATCAGCAGTATCAGAACAGAAAAAAATTTAGATCCATAATTTTTCAGAAGTAAAATACAAATATAATTGTTTCTTATGTTTCTTGTTGTTGTTGCTATTAAGTGCCATTGAGTCGCTTGCGACTCATAGTGACCCTATGTACAACATCCCTAAACTCTGCTCTGTCCTGTGCCAATCGCACTGTCTCCGACACACCCATCCCAATTATCCCAGTCACTGAATCAATCCACCTC